CCATCCGGAACCGGTGCGAGAGAGAGGCTTGACCTTCAGCATGGCAGCCATCATAAACCTTTGCTGTCGACACAGAGTTGCACTTCGACAAAGCATGCATCAGAAGCTTTCGAAGACACTCGAAGCCATGACACATCAGATCAAGAGAGTCTGGCCCCCAAACAATCGAGGCCACCCTCAGGCCGTGGGCATTCATCGTAGTGGTCACAGCTTTCTGCCCCACAAATAACTCCATGGCTTCATACTCCTGCACGGGAGAGCACTGCTACAGAACTCAACAAAGCAGTCCAGGAGTCTAGCTTGTGAGAACATATAAAAACCTGGCCCATCCCACCTCGGTATAATCAAGCGGCATGTAGGCCACAACGGTAAATATCGTTGTGAGGACCTCAGCAGCAGGCATGCAGTCATTGAGGGTCGTAGGTATTGCAACACAATTACTATAGATGCCAGCTAGATGCGGATGGTGCATTATTGCCATAAAGACTGTCCAGGATGGCTTCTCGTCGCTCATCAGAGAGTACCATTGGGACTACAGGCCGGGCACCGAAAGCTCACAGCACAGCAGAAGCTGCAGCGGTCGCACAATAAGTGCATTAGCGATGCAATGCGTGCACGAAGCTCTCGATCACTCATGCTGTGATGCATCTTCAGTGTAGCACAGACACAGCTCGTGCAAAGTCAATCGCTGGGGCACGTTGCGGCTTCCCCTTCAGGAGCTTCCCCATCTTGACGGTGAACGACCTGGCAGCTGGAAGGGGCCAACGAGACATCTTGGTTTGCGGCATGGGACAACGAGACATCTTGGTTTGCGGCACCGGCCAACGAGACATCTTGGTTTGCAGTTACAGCAATACAACTATGCAGTCTAGACTCCTTGCAGACATGTGGGCTCCTGCTGAAACAGATGCAGAAACTTAGAGTGATTCTTTTTGCTCTGCAGCAAGACCACAATGTGATCAGCACGTTGCGGCACAGCCACAGTCTTGTAGCCGGTAGCATCGATCGGACATCCATAAATTTGAACCCCCGTGTGCCATGCGAACTACACCGTTCTGCTTGGGCGAGGATCTATCTACGGCTGGGTTTGGGTTTGGGGTTTAGGGTAATCTGTGGGTTTGGGGTTTAGGGTAACCTATCCCCGGGCCCTGTACTCTTGGCTTGAGACCCAAACAAAGTCTAGCGTGCAGTCGCATGGCAAATCCCAGGTAAAGCAGCTGCTGGACTGCACCAGCCACTGGCTACCCCGCAAAAGCAGCTGGAGATGTGCAGGCACACGACCAACATTTGCATTGAAGATGTTCTTAGATGTGCTGTTCTCTAGAATCAATCACTCTCAGCACAGCTTCAGCTTGCAGCAGGCCGGTTCTTTCGTGGCCCACGTGGCCTGTAGTTCGGATTCCTGCATTTCTTGCAGCCTAAGCGTCCAAAGCGACATGTGGGGCACCCCAGCTGTCTTTCACCCTCACCCTCGCCAACATCATCATCCGGCTTGGGAGGCTTCGCCTTGGCATTCTTCGGGCTCGTCTTCTTCGAGGCTGCTGCTGCGTCACCCTTGGCATTTCCCTTAAGCTTCTTGTCCTTCGTTGCGGCAGCCTTCTTGGGCTGGGCAGCCTTCTTGGGCTTGGCAGCCTTCTTGGGATTTGCGGGAGTTTTTTTGGGCTTGCCTTTGACCAAGGTTTTCTTCTTAGTCGCTCGTAGCTGCTTCTGCAGGAAGGGATCCACCTCTGGCAGATCAGCCGTATCCTGCTAGGGCTTATGTTAGGGTTTATAGGGTTTCCTGCGAGGGCTAGGGCTTATACTATACTATAGGGGCTTATGTTAGGGTTATATAGAGTTTTTCGAACTTAAAGAAACAAGGCTCCTTTGGCAGCGGCTTCCCCTTTGCCATCGTGGCGGCAGCTGGCGGCGTGGAATCCTGGCTTCGCCTGCAGGTGCTCGGGGGGGTCTCCACAAGATTGATGTCGATGGGCTGAGTCTCATCCTGCAGGAGTTCATGGGTACATGTAGTTTGCACCAGACGAAACAATTGACTCAAGTGATGCGAACTCTTTGGGACAAGCCGTGACACAGTGCGAGCCGTGCGACATGTAATCAAGTCTCACAATGCAGTCCTGGTCCGTGCAAGGCCGTGGCTTCTTCGATGAAGGGGTCGCCGTGCCTTTGTTGCAGCAGCAGCAGCAATCAATAGTGAACCCCTAGTCCCCTAGCTTGGTCGATGGCACCTAAGAGTCGAGATTAGCAAAGCGGCTAGCAGGGCTAGACGTGGCAGTCGCAGGGCTGGGCGTGGCAGTAGCCGACGAAGATTTTCTTTTGGAAGTCATGGGCCTTTGCGTATAACAACAGAAGACTCATAAGATTCACATGCAGCTCTCGCAACCCCTATGAGTGTTGCACGGCTAAGATTCAGACCGAGCGATTTGAAGAAGTTTTATCTTTTCCAAAACATTATCCAGCTCCTCTTTCTCCTTCGACTTCTTCGTGCCGAGGAAAAGAACCTCCTCGCAGCTGGCCGCCGTCTTCTGTGCGAGGCGTCGCACGGGAGACTCCCGAGGAGTCTTGACGAGCTTGGGCTCATCCTTCTTTACATCCTCAACATCCACACACTCATCATCTTCCATCTCTTCCTCCTCTCCCTGTTCTCCCTCATCCCCGCATTCATCTTCCTGCTCCTCCTCGTCTGCATCTGCCGCACATAGCTTATTCCTCTCTGCCACGATCTTGCAAATACCCTTGAGTTTGCGCTCCGGCTCTGGGTTTTGCTCTCGAACGTGCCGCATAAGCTTGAAGAGCTTCTGGACTGGTGTTCCCTTTGTGCCAATGCAGAATAACAGTTTACAAGGGTTATTGTTCGGGTGGCAGCAACTCAAATTACACAGAAGTATAATGCGGATCAAGTTCGATTGGAGTTTGCTGCCGCTTGTGGCAATCGGCTTCACGTCTGAGGGCGTAGGAGTACAGCTTTCGAAGGCCCCATGCATCCTTATACACACGGCCAGAGCCCACCTCCCACTCCATGTTGTCGTAGAAGTCTTCAACCTTGAGTTTTGATTTGAGGAACATGCTTCTGCAATCGATGTACTTTTTAAGGATGTGTTACAGGGATCAACCGACCAATCTAGTGCAAACAAAGTGCACATGCCATCAGCTTCTCAATGGAGAGCAGTGTGAGCTGCTGCAGACACTCCACCATAGAATGCACCATTGCACAGTTATACTTAAGAGTTTCTGCATTTGCTTCACCATCTTTCTCCTCAGAATCATCTTCCCAGCGAAGCCAAGCGGACCCACCCTTCTTGCGGGTCTTCGTCAGCTGCAAATTCTGCCATGCTTTGCTAAGCTTCCGAAACTTCACCGGCAAAGCAAGCACCATAATCGCAAAGGAGGCAAGGGCTCCCAAACTACAGTCCTGAAAACAAGAAGCCTTGATCCCGACCCACAATGCCGACATGCAGCGTCTCTGCTGGCTCTGTCATGCAAGCAGATCTACGGGACTTGCGGTTTTTTAGTGATAGAAAAAGCCTTTAGGGGTTCCTGTTATTTCTATTGGATAATTCTGAGATGTTCGGTTTTGGGGTTTTGGATAACGTTAATCTGATGGTTGCCGTGCTTTTTATGGGGATATAATCTTTCCCGGACTAGAGGGTTTCTATGGGGCTTAAAGTTGCTTAGGCTTTTGCGAAATAAGCGAGCCGAGCCAACCTCGCCCACGTGGATGAACCATCCACTCATCTCCGAAGCCTGCATCAGTAAAGAAAGGAGGGTTGAAGTTGTAGCTGCATTGTAGGCTTCGTCCACCGCACCCTCAAACCAGCGAAATCCTGAACTCTGAAGCCGCTGGCCTCTATTCCGCAGATCAAAACATCACGTAGACGACGAAGTCGGCAAAGCATCCTAGCGTGCAGCTTCGGGTGCTCAAGTACCTAAAATACTTAGAAGCCGTGCACCAACTGAAGTATCACCCTAAACCCAGCCACAACGACCCCAAGAATTACCATCCCTTTGGTCCTCCCGGTGCAGGTCTTCGGCGAGCATGATCGGAATGGCTTCGCCGAAGACAAAACAGAGAGCTGTATTGCTTAGGAGGTTTGGGGTTTTCTGGTCGTTAACAGTAGGGTTTTAGGGTTTAGGGTTCGCGGTTCTATTGTAACAGCTGGCATAGTTGATTCTAGGCTTGGGGTTCTAGCTACAGTTGATTTTAAGACTTTTCTGGATCATTAGCCAGATGCTCGGGTAAAAGTTTTGGTGTTGTCGGGATCCTCGGCTTTCAGGCTTGATCATTGTTGGCTTCCAAACCAACTCATCGTTTCCTAGACACCGACGAGTCCCATTGGGTCGCATATATCTATTGTAAATCTTACAGGATATGGGAGATAAGTCTGGCATATCTGGAAAGCTTGCATCCACAATGAGCTTTCGAGCCCTTTCGAAACCGCGGTTGCAGAAACTTGCCCCCTGTGGCCATACTTCTTGCGACTGCCAATTGAAGTCTCAGTTGTAACTTTATTGCGCAACTCGCGCGTTCCAGGTAAACCCTATTCTAATAATTAAGGAACCCCGAAACCCTGAACCCTAAACCCTACACCCCTAAACCCTAAACCCTAAACCCTATTCTAATAATTAAGGGCCCTAGACCCTAAACCCACGGATCTCTGTTGAATTCCATCCGGTCTCCCAGACCACGGGCCTCCCTGCTCCCGGCCTGATGTCGTAAACTCCATGGGTTCGGTTTTGGGTTTTGGGTTTACTGTTTGGGGTTTTGGGTTAGGGGTTTTGGGTTTTGGGTTAGGGTTTTGGGGTTTTGGGGTTTGGGTTTAGGGTTTAGGGCCCTGGTTAAAGACACATGTGTCCTAAACTAGCCCTAGTCTTAGGGCCTGAGTAGGCAACCTTTAAGCATTTGGGGCTTGCATCATCCTACAGAATACACATACACACACAGAATATAACCCCAAAACATTCGAGTTATTGAGGCCCCTAGATGCCCCTCGACAAGAGAAACTCGTAAACACCCGCCCAAAAAAAGCAACAGAAGCTCTTTAACACCAACTTGATTCCGATGCACTTGAGAAAGTAGCCCTTATAGGCCCTTCCCTAAACCTTATAAACCCTAAACCCCTAAACCCTAGTTTAAGCCTGTAAGCATTATTTTACAACCTTCCATAAAGACACCGAGCGAGGCTGGGCCAGTTGCCGCTTCCGATGCATGGGAAGCCCTCTGAGGTTCGCTAGTGCGAGAGTTTTGGGACTCATTTAAGGATGTTGTTGGTTTGGGATTTAGGGTTCAGGGTTTACTGTTTAGGGTTTAGGGTTTAGGGTTATGGGTATAGTGCGAGAGTTTTGGGATTCCTTTGAGGATCTTGCGGGTTTTGGGTTTGGGGTTTGGGGTTTGGGGTTTAGGGTTTAGGGTTTAGGGTTTAGGGTTATTGGTTATGGGTTGACTCCTGTAAGTCTAGGACATTTTAAGGTGGGTAGTTATCGTTATTGGAGCCATATAGAAGGTCTATATACCTTATAGAAGCCTTATTATAGAAGCACTATATACCCTAAACTCCCCGCCTGTAGTTTCCTTTAAGTAATGATCTTATGGTTTTGGGGTTCAGGGTCTACGCGTTTAGAAGGATCCCATGAGGATGTCTCTCGGGTTGTTTAGGAGCTTTGCAAGGTTTTGTAAGGATCTTCTCGTTAATCGAGATTGCTAAAGGATGGGTTAGGCTTCCAGGATCGGCTTTGAGTGGTTTTAAATTCCCCCGGGGGGAAGGGGCAAGGATAAATTTCGCGCGGAACCGTAAATCGCATCGACGAGAAACAAAGCAAGACTTCTGAGGAGTCGAAAAAAGCTTAACCCTTCAGCCACCCCCATTAAATCAAAACACTCGCAACCCACATTACGGACCCAAGCCCCTTAACCCCAAACACCCTCAGGCCCCCACCGCAATAAAAACAACCAAAATAGCCCCAACTCTGCTGGAGAGCTTTGGGAAGTGCTCAGGGTGCCAAACACGAACCCAGCTTTGGAAAGTTTGGGCAGCACTCACAGCGAGTTTGATCGAGTCTAACTCACCGAAACCTTAAACCCTAAACCCTAAACCCTGAACCTGAAAGGTGACGATCCGACCGTTGGCTCACGTTCTGGCCTTGGCTTGCCTTTTGGGTGACTACTTGGGTTTAGGGTTTTGGGTTTGGGGTTTAGGGTTTTGGGTTTTTGGGTTTAGGGTTTAGGGTTTCGTCGCATCTAAAGGCGCTTTCCTAAGTTCGAGTTTTCGGGTTTAGGGTAAGTGCCGCAGGACTTCAAGGTTTACCTCTGCAAGGGCTTTGAGGCTACTCCACGGGATTCCGGCTCTGGGGGTTTAGGCCTTTAAAGGGGCGCTTTAGAAGTTGCGGGCTCGTTTAAAATGTGACGTACCGGCCGGCATGAGATTTAGATGGTCAGCATGAAACAGTAGTGGCCTGCATCAACTACCACCATCGAGAAGGATAGCAACCCAATCCCTCAACCCTGAACCCCCAAAGTTGAAAAGAGAAGCCCTAAGCCCTAAACCCTAAGCCCTAAACCCTAAACCCAAAGCCCTAGACCCTAAAATCCCTAAGCCCTAAACCTTAAAACCCTAAACCCCTAAACCCCCAAACCCCCTAAACCCTAAACTCTAAACCATAAACCCACAATTGCCCGAAAAGGATGAGAGCCTGGGCCCCGGCCGGATTTGCACAATAGCCATCCCTGGAAGCTCAGCAATCAATTCATGACTATGGGGTTTATGGTTCAGAGTTCAGGGTTTAGGGTTTAGGATTTGATAGCAAAGAGCCTGGGTTCAAAAAAGGGTTTAGGATTTAGGGTTTACGGTTTGGGGTTTAGGGTTCAGAGTTCAGGCCTTAGGGTGTAGATTTAGGGTTTAGCTACACTTTTATGGGCACTTATGCTCCTATGTCAATGTAGAAGTCTGCATAATTACAGCACCGACGCCATTTCGGACAACTCCTCACACTGGTTATGTTCTCGGTTTGTCCAAAAGTAGTATACTAATTATACACCACTTCAAACTAACCTTCAATGCAACACTTATGGAGGCCGTTCTTTAAAGCACCCTGAACCCTGCAAACTGTGGTCGGGAATCCTGCGGTCCCGTCAGTACCTTAAACCATTGGGTTTATGGTTTAGGGTATAGGGAGTGAGATGGCTTGCGGGTTAAGGCGGTTAAAGCTTTTAGAGTTAAACTACCTGAGGCTGTTTTAGGTTCCTTACCATAGCTATTGTAGACAAGGCAGGGTCTTGTCCCATCTCACCGTAGGACGGCAGCGCTTGGGCAGCAGAAAAGGCAGGACCTATCTTCAAAGGCCCATCTCCAAGAGGGTTTAGGGTTTAGGGTTTAGAGTGCTTGCAACGTTGATGGGGTTTAGGCTTCAAGGGTCCTTTGATGAGACTATTCTCCTACATTTCTCAGGGTTTTAGGAGGGCTTTTCGATGTTGATGATGTGTCATTGGGTAGTTCTCTAAATTTGGGCCCCTTGTAAATGGTTATTTTTATAAGCGTGCCATACTATATTGGGAACCTAAAAGGGGACCGAAGTTTCGAGAACTGCCCATTGTGTTTTAGGGCTTCTTGCCTAAACCCTAAACCCTAAACCCTAAACCTTGACATCCTCGCGGTTTCGGGGATGATGCGCCCCAAGCCATCGACCCTATCGTTTGGGGTTTAGTGTCTAAGATTGGGCTTAGGGTTTCGGGTGGATTTGGGGTTTAGGGTTTAAGGTTTAGGGTTTAGGGTGGATTTGGGCTTTTGCATTCACGGCAGGAAATAGTTTCTTCGCATTTGGATTTGGATGGCGTCGTGCGCAAAGGCTGAGAGGATTACATTACAGCAAATAAGCAACCTCCTGTAGACTCGGCGGGCCCTGAACTTGAATCTAGGGGCAAATAAATGCGTTCTGGTGGGTTGGGGTTCAGGCATCATGAACGTGAGATCGCGCTCAGGCGAATTCAAATTCAGACCTGTCAGCTTGCCGGATGCTTCTGGGAACAG